ATCAATAGAGAAAGCAAACACATTAATTCCATTAATTCCATAGGTTATCTCATAAAGTAAATATAAATCAGACATATAGAAAATAAACAAATATATTCAGGAAAGGATCACCCATCAAATATATAATCATAAATCTAAATAGATTCACATCAAGGAAAATATTCACTAAATGTGTAAACATAATTTCTTAAATTCAGATTATAATCAATATCATTTGTATTTCTTTAAAATACTATTTCATAGTCTATAGAGGCACAGTGATCAGACTATACCTGGTGGAGTCATCAATATTGTTTAAAATACCAACAGGGTATTCTCACCTAAATAAAACCATACAAATTCAGTTCATAAAAATGTATTATAACATAAAGTGATAATAATATAACAATGAGACATCTCGATATCTCAGAAACTACAAGTGACTAAATCTAAACCTAAAATCACAAAAGAAGAATGAAAGATCAGACAAAAAAAACCCCATTAAATAACCCATTATTATAAAAATTGGCAGATTTCAAACTCCCCATTCAGACCTCTAGGGAATAGGTTTGAAGATCCATCTCATTTCTTGCTGTGATAATTCTTATTCAGATCTTCCCCCCTCCAATTCCTGTCAACTTTTTCTATCCTGAAAAAAATCTAATTGCATGAGTTCCCGATTATGTTCCTTTGAAACGTGTAGGGACAAGACATGCTCCTTAAAACCTGTCGTCAGATTTCTGAGATGGTCTTCAATATGAATATGTATTTGTTTAGTGGTTTTCTCTACGTATTGAAATATATGCAATTCGTAGTGTGGCAAGTTAATAATTGTTTAATTACATACCTCTTGCTCAAAACACCTCCCTCAAAGTCCTTCTTTACTATCTTCTGCGCCCCTGTCCTCTACATGCTAAACAATACCCACATTTAAAAGAAACTCTTCTCATTATTTAAAAAAAAAAAGTCTATTTTCCATTCTTATTATTAAAAGTACTTTCACTAAACTTGTTTTAATGCTGGGTATTTCTCTATAAGCTAAAAACTTTTAGGCACAATAAGTTGTAAGAGGCATCTCCTGCTAAAACAAACCAATAAATACTTCTACCAGAACAGAAAAAAACTAAAGGCACTTCATCAGTATTTTTTTATCAATCTGATGGACTCTCTGAATTTATTTATCTTCAAAAGATCCTTTCTATTCAATGTATGTAGCCTTAAAATCTTCAATAAGTTTCTTAGCCTGATCTTCATACATTCCCAGTTCTGTGCAGTTCCTCCTTATCCTCATAAGTTGACCCTTGGGGATGTTACTCAACCGCAGACAATCAAACAGAATTTTTTTTTTTTTTACTTTTATGTCAACCTTTTAAAAGTAGATTTTCGTATGGATCTTACCACATAAAACTAAAATATTAAAATTTAAAAAATGGACACTACTGTCACTATAGTCCATGGTCCATTTAACAACCCCAGGAATTGTAATTAAGGTGTTCAATGAAGATGCATAAATCCTCTTTGGAGTCCCTCCAGATCCAAAACAGATCATCAATGAACTGGAGATAGGTGACCAGATTCTGCGCTCAACCTAGCCCACCATAAAAGTTTCCTCCCAAAAGGTCATAAAGTGATTGGCGTAACTAGGTCCGAACCTAGTCCCCATCATTGTCCCCAGGATCTGGCGACAAAAATAATTCATAAAATGAAAATAATTGTTTTTGAGGATCAAATTGATCCCTCCAATAAACCTCCGATGAGCCAGAGTTAAATTAGAGGAAGTAAAAAAAAAACTAAACTGCTTGGATACCTATCTCATGTGGAATAGTAGAGTACAGGGATGAGACATTTCCTGTTACTAGGATGTCTCCCTCCCTCCACTCTACCTCCTCAAGAATTCAGGGAATATGTTCTTTATCACATAAGTAGGATTTGCTAGTAACAATGGGTTGGAGAAAGTTGTCTATATATTCCCATAAGGGGATGGAACACAAAATAATTATTGAGATGATGGATCTCCCTGGTGGTCCAGTTTTTTTGTTTGTTTGTTTTTTGCAGAAAATAATACACCATTTTTGTGTGTATTACTGTTAAATAATCTGCCTTAGTCAATATATCTGTCAATAACCCTATACTTAGATATTCCAATTTTTTTTTTTACATTTCTTTTGTAGGTTCTCCCTTCAGTTTTTTATAGGTGACTCCATTATCCAGCTGTCTAAGGGATTCTTCTATAAAATACTCCTTATACATGATGACAATGCACCCTCCTTGGCTGATTTTATAATAATCTCACTTAGAGTCCCACTCCGGATCCCACTCATTACCAGCGGGTGGGGGCCCTTAGTGACAAAAGTAATGGGGTACCTACTGTTCCCCTGTCCCCCATCCATGAGCGGTTGGTGGGGGCACTAATACATCGTTTCCACTGAGTGGATCGGTTGGTTACGTTACGCTATTTTGAGTGTTTCCATTATGAAGTGGCCCATACAACCGAACCGTACTGCACCATTAAGGGTCCTGCTTCAGATGTAGGGCCATAGGAAATGGTACAGTACGGTTAGGGCGGAGCTACTATACAATCCATTGATTGGATGACACGCTAGGCATTTTTTCTAAACCCCACATGGCCCCTGAAGGTCTGACTTGCAGTGGAAATGCTCACCTGAATAGGCTGGACCATTCTAAACCTTCCAAACTGTAACGACCCGAACCGATCCGCTCAGTGGAAATGAGGCATTTGTGACAAAAGGAAAGACATACTGCTTCCCCACCCCGCGGCCCCAACCTATGAGCCGGTTTATAGATCATGTTTCTGCTCGTCTCACTGCTCAGTTCTCTGCCTTTAATATTTAGATCACTTTTGTTTCTGTTTATGCAGCCTGAGCCACACCCCACCTGGCTGTGGCTCACACAAACCCCATGAGAAAGTGGCTTTATTTTCAGATCCTACAGCACAGTGTGTTCACTTTGGAATTTATTATCTCCTGCTCTGTTAATTAAACTTTGAAAACACCCAGGAGACTTTAGCAGACTATCAGCAGAGCATAAGATAAGACATTCTAAATTAAACACACTGTGCCATCAGGAAAGCTTTAAAATATTAACTTTTGGGAAGTGGGTGTGTGAGTCTCAGCCAGGGGAATTGTGTCTAGGGCTGCATAAACAAAGTGATTGAACTCCTAAATGCAAAGGTCATGCCCCTACATTGAGTCTGCAATTAATTAATTAGGGTAAAGTTATTTTTGTGCTAAGAATGTCCCTTTAATTTATAGCATTTAAATCATACATTGAATGTTCAAGAAGAACATAGCTCAGTGAATTTTGTATATATTTGATTTGAAGACATGTCATTTCCAATAGACTTATGCACGGGAAACAAATGGAGTTTAAATAGGTTAATAGAAAATTATCTTACTTTAAAAAAAGAAAAAAGGTTAAACTGATTGTAGATATTTTATTTATAAATTATCCTTATTTAATTAAAGCAATTAGCCTTTTATGTAGTTATCAGTTGTTATGTACTTCATGTCGCATTACCTCTTCGTGCCGGCATGCACTCCTTGTGTATCCATGTGTACCTGGCACTTCAGCTTTCATGCTCTGACACTCCAAGCACATTGTCATGTCGTGAAACTTCATTCTAATGTCATTAGTGGAGCAGAACATTCATACTCTGCCCCTATATATTTAAAGTTTCAGGTCATCTTTTCACTACATGTTATTGCCATATGACATCACACAGATCTATAACCAATCACTACACAGTATAGGGCGTTTAACTTCCTATTTCCTAGTTCCTTGCCCTGTCGTACTTTCTGACCTTGGCTTGTTTGGCCATTCTTACCTTCTGTAACCCTGACATTGGCTTGTTTCTCATTTCTGTATAACTGTTATCCCTATCTTGGCTTGTTAATGTTTTTCTGTGTCTGCTTGCAGACATTCTGACTTATTTCTCAGTAGTAGCCCGGCAACTCTAAGGACCAGTAACCATACCTGTTGTTTCAACCTAGGATTGTGTGTTAGGGTCAGTCCTGACCATTCAGTTATGTTAAATCCTACTGTCCCCTACAGTATGTAATATTAACTGTATATCCTCACCTACTTTTTCTCTCATCGTTAATGTACACTAATTTAAAACGCAGAGCCCTGATCATGTGGCTTCAAGAGCCATCCTCCTTATTCTTATAATTGTGTTTCACTATGGACCACAGACCAGCCTTTTTCACTGCATATCACCTTAGTGGGACGTCCATGGCCCAGGGTGACACTCAAATCATGAAAATTCCACTATATCATACATATTGTACACAGTTATTTAATGCTACACTTTCATAACTGTGGGATGTCCCATGGTCCAAGGTGAGACTCAAATTATGAAAATTCCACCCTATCGTACATATTGTAAACAGTTATTTAATGCTACACTTACATAATAACTTATATACACACACACAAAAGAATTGAGACTACTAAATACAAAATTTTCCTTGATAACTACTAAAACTATAACTATAAATTACTATAATATAAGTATAGGCCAGAAAATATATTTAAAAATGAGACTTGTGCATTTGGTTTTAAACAAAGTGCAAGATTGTTGCATTATGTAACAAATAACCCGGGCAATGGACAAAAGTTTAATTTGCCTGGCGATTCGAAGTTTTGTTTATTTTGGAGGGTAGAGGCAAATAAGCAACTCAGTTTGCCATGATAGTCAAAATATCTGTCCAGTAATGAGAACTGCATCTCCTTTCCAATCACAATCCCCTACTTTCCCCTACCTTTATTTTAATTCCACCACTAGCCCCATTAGCTTATATACAACAGTAAACTTAGCAATCACGTGTACCACAGAGCTCCTGAACAACATTTTATAACATTTTAGCCATTTACATTGTTCCAGGAATTAGTAGTGGGAAGAGGAGGTGTAATAATCTAAAATAAATGCTTTAAACTCATGCTAAAAAAATAATACAAAGAAAGATATGACTAACATTCCTTATGGTATACTTCATTGCAGAATCAAGAGTCATGTTTATTCCACATATTTATTACAGTCATTAATAAGAGCAGGCAACTCAAAAAGTCCCTTTTCATGTACTAGCGGCTGGGAACTGGAATGTCCTGCACTGAAGGTGAAAACTGTCTGGTCTAAAAGCCATCTTGAGTGCTGCTCCTAGAATAAAAAGGAAGTGTGATCCCCAAAGGTGCCTCTTCCATCCTAGGACTGTATAAGTTTTGTGGCCTAGGATTCCTTAGCTGACTGTTTTCAGTGGCATCAGGGCCAAAATAATACAGGGGCTATTGGAGCAGAAGCTCCAGATTCTTGCTTTAAAATAAAACAGCCACAATGTAAATGTTACATTTTTTTCAGTTTATTCCACTTGCCACTTTATGTTTTGGAAATGTTTCCCAGTCACTGATAGTTCTGAGACTATTTCCTGTTGTATATGCAACCTTAAAGCTAGATATGTTGCATTGCAATTGCACATGAAGAAGAATTCAGAGTCCACGTGGATCAGCATTAGATTTGGTATATGTTCTACATGGTAATTGCTACAATGATATCTGAAATTTATATTTAACTTCTCATTAGGTCCATCAGCTCCAGGTCCAAGAAGACCTAAATCCAGCACTAACTGGTAGCATGACTCTGTTTTGTAATTGTAGAAAAAAACTATTTTGGTCTAATTTATAAAGGACAGTGAGGCCTTTTCACTATATCACTGAATATAGAGGAATGGAATTCTATTCTTTCCCTTTGTCAAGCATAAATAAATACTTATTTTAACATGTGTTGTGTTTTAGATTTGCATAATACACACACAAACACACATGCTGGTTTTCATTATTTATTATTTTCTTAACAGTATTGTCATCTGTCACTTTGAAAGGAAAGCACTGCTATTAACAGGTTCTTTTATATGCTAATCTATATTCTGGTTTAATAGATATTACAATTTATATAGAGGTAGTCAGGTATATCTATGAAACTTTTGATCAGTCTCATGAGCAAGGAGGTTTTTTGTTTTTTTTACCTCTGATATAGAACTTGACTTTTAAACTATAAATTTAATGTATTGTACCTATTGAGTATTTATCACACGTCACTGGTTTAAAGTAGCTTTTGAAATTATTAACTATGCATCAAAATTTGTTTTGACGCCTCCAATGGCCTCTTCGTAGGCAGAGTACATCTTCTGTAGTTAATCACTAAAACATGACTTTTGGGTCGTTACGGTTGAATGCAGATTGTCAGTCTCAGAATGACAATCAGCATGTCCCAAACTTTGAACAGTCTGGTTGACCTTGGTCATCTGCATCCATGTAATTTCTTGTTTTATGCATCTTTTTATAAAGTCGAACTGGGTCGTAATGGATAAATTCCTCTTCTCTTCTGCACTCAGCTGCCAGCTGCTCACTATTAAGATATATACTCGATCTAGATAAAGTACTGTTCGTAGTCATCGGTGAGGATTCTTCTAAACAGTGGTTAGAAATTAATGATGTTGCTTTCTTTTTTCTTAGTTTCCTTGTCTTTTTAGGACTGAGATCCAATGCGGCATAGCACATGGTTTCCTGTGGTTCCATCTGTCAAATTGGCATCAAAAATAATTTTAGACGGAATGTCTTAAAACAAAACATACTATATTAGTCAGAATGTTTTCTCAAATTCTTATAATTATAATTAATTTTCATAAGTAACAACCCTGGTGTGTATACATTACGAAATTCGTTACGTTATGGTCAAAATTGTGTGCAGTAAACTTTTACTTCTTGACAAGTCCTTTAGAAAATGGTGCTAAACTTGCATAAATATAAAATTGTACTTACTCCATGACAACTAGAAGCTCAAGGAAATATAATGACAGTTTTTGGAGTTATTGTTTTTTTTTCCTCTTTCCATTTTGCAAGGGAAAAATAATGCACCCAGCTAGTTAGAGAGAGTAATGTTTGAGACTTTTATGATACATGTGGTTGCATTATGGTCTTATATTCACTTCCAATTGTTGAAGTTGAAATGTTTCTTTATGCAGGTGGGTAGAGAGCAGAAATAATGCTTTAAGCAGTTGTCAACTGGCTATTTTTAATTGCATGACCAGCACATGTTTAATGTATCATTCATAATTTCCCTATTTTACAAACGTTGAAGTGGCACTAAAGTAACCCTGACCACTTTATCTCAACAAAGTGGTTTGGGTGCAGTGTTCACTGTCCTTTTAACCAGGGCTGGGCTGGGAACTAAAAAGCAGCCATGGATAGTGTGTAAATATAGAGGTAGAAAAGGTTACTTAAAATTGAAAACTTTTACTCCAACATGAAAGAAAACACTCATAGGGCTTTAAAATAAACAAAAGTACAGATTTATGTTAAGCAAACGTGTATTTGCATGTTTCCGTTCTACTATCTTGATATATTAAGGAAAGTTTGATAATGGAACCGAAAGGGTGAATGTATGTTGTATGGGGCTGATCGAGCCCATTTCAAGAGTGCACGCACTGCTGTGATTACTGTGAATGAACCAAGCAAATGTGACAATCATGCATCGCCCAATAGAAAGGAAGCTCTTCACGATTGTTCAAGCGGAATGACAGGCTTTGTCAGCTCGACTGACAGAGGGGTGTTTCCAAATTTCCAAATGTGTTCCAAAAGGGATATTCCAAATCAATTGATAAAACAGATGATTTCTCTCAAAATTTGCACTTTTAGAATTTGGGACAAGGGGAGCATGTAGTAAACTTTAAAGCACTTCAACAAGTTGGGGTTTGGAGTGTCCATTCAAATCAAAGTCAGTCAACATGTCAATTCTATAAAAGAAAATCCAGGTGGAAATTGGAAAAAAGAATTCCGTGACTGAGATTCTAGAGTAGAACAACAGTATTTGCACATTTATAGACTTAAATGACAACTGCTACCTTTTTTAAAATACAATAATCCTTTTGTCACGTTTTGGAAGGAAATAGATTTTTTAAACTGTATTAAAAAAGTATAAAGTATAAGTGAAAAAAGAAAAGAAAAACTATATCTTTAGTATTAGACAGGATTCTTCAACCATATACATGCACAGTGGGGGCCCCTGCGACCCGGTATGTACCCACAGGGCCAGCCTCTTCTCCTGGGGGCCCAGGAGCCGACCACCCCAGGGCCCCCCGAGGCTGGCCCTGCTGACACCCGGCGGGCGAGGGGAGCACTCAGTGCTTCCTCTTCAGCTCCCTCGCGCACCGCACTGATACCGGAGCCGGAAGATGGCGTCATCTTCGGCGCCCGGCATCCACGAGGAGCTGAAGAGGAAGCACTGAGTGCTCGCGTCCTGCCCGACCGGCCACCCGCCCAGGAGCCCAGCAGCACCACTGGACCCCAGGGAATCCCCCCAGCACTCCAAAAGGTAAGGAGACCTGGGGGGATTACATTTTAAATAAAAATTATGTGTTAGTGTTAGTGTTTGAGTGAGTGTTAGAGTGAGTGTTAGAGTGAGTGTTAGTGTGTGTGTCTGCTAGTGAGTGTTAGTGAGTGTTAGTGTGTGTGTTACTGTGTGTGTCTTACTGAGTGTGTGTGTGTGTTAGTGATTCTGTTTGATGTCTGTTAGTGAGTGTGTGTTTGTCAATGAGAGTGTATGTTTTGTAAGTGAGTGTGTATGTATGTCTGTCGCTGAGTGTGTCTCTGTCAGTAAATGTGTGTGTCTGTTAGCTAGTGTGTATGCGTCTGTAAGTGTGTGTCTTCAGCACTTACCTTTCTCCAGCGCCGGACTCCCTTGGCGCTGGGGATCCCTCAGCCTCTCAGCTCCGAATGCGACCGCGCACGCATTCAAACCGCCCATAGGAAAGCATTACTCAATGCTTTCCTATGGACGTTCAGTGTGCTCCTCTAGCGGCTGTCAGTGAGACAGTCACTAGAGGCTGGATTAACCCTCAGTGAAACATAGCAGTTTCTCTTAAACTGCTATGTTTTCAGATGCAGGGTTAAAACTAGAGGGACCTGACACCCAGAAAACTTCATTGAGCTGATGTGATATGGGTGTCTGTAGTGGTCCTTTAAAGGACCACTATAGTGCCAGGAAAACATACTCGTTTTCCTGGCACTATAGTGCCCTGAGGGTGCCCCCACCCTCAGGGACCCCCTCCCGCCCGGCTCTGGAAAGGGGTAAAACTTACCTTTTTCCACCGCTGGGCAGAGAGCTCTCCTCCTCTTCTCCTCCCCGTCGGCTGTATGCGCACGCGCGGCAAGAGCTGTGCGCGCATTCAGCCGGTCACATAGGAAAGCATTCATAATGCTTTCCTATGGACGCTGGCGTGCTCTCACTGTGAAAATCACAGTGAGAAGCACGCAAGCGCCTCTAGCGGCTGTCAATGAGACAGCCGCTAGAGGAAATAGGGGAAGGCTTAACCCATTCATAAAACATAGCAGTTTCTCTGAAACTGCTATGTTTATGAAAAAATGGGTTAACCCTAGCTGGACCTGGCACCCAGACCACTTCATTAAGCTGAAGTGGTCTGGGTACCTAGAGTGGTCCTTTAAGTGTGTGTGCATCTGCATGCACTGGCGTACATACTGCGGTCGCAGGGGTCGCAGCCCTGTAACCCCTGCGACCAGGTGCCCACCGCCATGTGTTGCGGCTCGGCCCGCGCGCGGGGGAAGAGGGGGGGCCCACGGATCAATTTTCGCACCGGGGCCCCATGGGTCATGTGTACGCCACTGTACATGCACCTTGGATCAGTTGTTTGAAAACAGTTCACTTCTGTTGTCTTCACAGCTTCAATCCCTATAAAGAAGCAAGGAAGACCATACAGATTGTTGGTTTTCAAATACTGTCTGACCGGAGGTGCATGTATATGGCGGAGGAGTCCTGACAAATAAAAGCAGAATTTAGGTTTTGGCTCTCTTTCTCTCTCTCTCTTTTTTTTTTTTTTTTTTTTACATATACATCATATAAAAATCTATTTCCTTTCAAAACTTGATGAAAGGATTATTATAGTAAAACATAGTTTTGAGGTGACGATTGTCTTTTGAAAGATGCATATCTACACATTCCTGTTTCCTAAGAACACAGGACGCTTCTATTCTTTGAAACCCCCCCTACCTCCCAAAAAACAAGATTAATCAATGTGAAAAATTGACAATATCAGGCCCCATCCTTTGATGTCTCATTAGATTCAAATTTATGGAAAAAATACTATTGGTATAGGCGCCAGCTCTATGAAAACAAAGCACTGTCACTATCCCTGATGCGGATGATTGGATGCTAAAAGGCAGAATGCACGAAGCAGCTAGAGACCATTACATCAGCATGACCTTGAAATTTCAGTTTTACAATTTCCAGAAAGATTCTGGTTTTAGGCTTAAGATTTAAGGAAAAATCTATTTTAAAAAATTACAATTTAGTAAATATTCTCCAAACAAACATGTTTAACTTTGTACCTTTTTTGATATAATAAAAACTATTTGGCAAGATTTGGCATTTGCAGCTACTGCAAACCCCCCTCTCTCTCTTTTCGCTGGCACGAATTCTTGTCTGTGACAGAGACTGACTAGAGTCTGCTCACCAAGCATGCGCACAGTTGTCAAGTCACAAACTTCTCACTGAGCTGCAGCTCAATTTAATGTCTTTGCAGGGCAGGTATGCTTTGACAAGTCTGCCACTTGTGCTTAGCTCCAAGGAGCTAAGCTGCTCAGAAGAAAAACCTCCTGGCTGTCTTATTGACAGGTGGTAAGGTGTAAGAGGACAGACTTATAAAAGTCCTACTTTTTATTGAAATTTGCACTTCTCTAAAATAAAAGGGAACATAGTCTTTACACACAGAGCACTTTCGCAAGCCAAAGTTTCTTGTGTGTTTGAATTGTTTCTTTAAAGTTCTTTGTTTATATTTTATCTTTTTCCTCCAACTGTATATCTGCGCACTATGCTGATGCAATGCATTATAGGTCTGGTATAAAATTTTCCCAGGGCTGCATTTTATTCCTCATTTGGCCCTGCACACAGTGACAGACCCTCCGCTATAGCATCTTCTATAATACTTCTGTAAAATTACTATTTTTATACAGCTTTTTAATCTTTTTTTGTGTGAGGGGGGTAGTAAGGAGGTTTTAAATGGTGAGAAGTATTAATGTGAGGATATGGCACCGGAGGGGGTGTGGCCAGAGTAGGGCGCTGTGAAGATTTTAAACACAGGGGGCCTAGAGCCGGCCCTGGATGTGACAAACAGAACAAGACAAGAGAAAAGATATGATGGAGTCAGAATGTTTCCTCCTATTCCCACTGAAACACCATGATGGATTTGAGTCTTTTAGCGGCATCTTTTACTGCCATTCTGTGTGGGGAAAAAAAAAACATGAGACCATGTTGGTCAGTTGTATCTGTTCACTAAATAGCGTAGATGAAATGTTCACTCTCTCAGGAAAAATGTAAAGATTATTAAGTTGGTGTGTAGAACGCAATATTCAGAACTTTACATTGTTTTTTCCAATTCCCCAGATGGAAAACTAACAACAAATGCATTAAAAACTGTTTGGGGTGTTCACCTGGGTCTTCCCATGTTGCACATTCGTTGGAGCATACAAGAAAGTTTAAAAACTCTAAAATTCAAAGTAAAAGGCGATAGGGTGCACACTAAAGTTTCTATATGTACATGTTTTCCACAAAAAATTTACGGATTTAGACATATATCAACAAAAGTAGTACATCATTGGCACATGAAAAATCATAAAAAGTACATTGCACTCAATAATATGATGTAGCATCTACTTCCAGGTATGTTCGATGTTCTACACAATATGTACATCATATTATTAAATGAAATGTACTTTATGTATTTTCATGTACTTATGATGTATTTTTGGATCGACTTTTTTTGCACCAATAATGACCAGCTGTCAGCACAGATCTACATGATGATGTGTACCAAAGAACATTAGTAAATTATTGCAATTATCTTATTTGATTAATTGTTTATTAATCACTAAATTGTTTGACTGTAAGTTGTTTTGTACTTTCACTATTTTTGTCCATAAATGTCTGTTCTGTTGAGTGTGGAGCACCTTTACAAAGACCAAATTTTGGGTCAAAACATTGCAGTGCTTTTTATGTTCTAATAAAAGTGCCTGAAGTTATTGGCGTGTCTGGACATTTTCTATCTACATTTCCGCTTTATGGGATGGTCTTGACCCATGGTCTGGTTTAGCACCCTTAGCGTTTGTGGATTTAGTGCGGTTCCTACTTGTTCTATTGCTATAAGAATTCTCTAGTCTGACATTCAAGATAATATAATTAATGAGGTTACAATAAAATTGGCTACAGTTATAAAGCCATAATTAAAATGTATCGATTGTCACAATGAATACAATCACCACACTTGGTAATTATCCAGCAAAATCCCTGTATGCCATTAACTGTCTATTTTAAATATCACTCCCATAATTACCACATTTCACTTTTGCATTTGATCACTTAGTGGTTTTATTTTTTGTAACTTGGAATTTAATAAAGTGTTATATATATTTTTGTATTTGCCTTTTGATTGATATTACTATTTTGGTAATTTTTCTTGAAGTTCTCTCCATGAGACGTGTTTCCATTGGTCTGTATTAATAATATCAGAGCTCACGAGAGGGAGAGGAGGAGGATAAGCGGCTGGCATGCATGCTGTCGGCAAGCAAGCTGGTGCATCGCTCTCCCCGTAACTTACCTTCACTCTTGCCCATGAGGGGCCGGTGCTGCCCTGCATGGGTTAGCAGGGGC